TCCATGTGGAATTCATGCAGGACAAAACTGTTTCTTATTTTGTAAAACTTGTGACATAGTTGTCTGCCCTTTGTGTATTGTAAAAACACATAGTAAACACAATATGATTGAATTAGCTGAAGGATACAAACTAACTGTTAAAACTATGGACATTTTTAATTCTGAGATTGACCAAAAATTAGTACAAAATGTGAAAGTATTATCTGAACTCAGAATTTTGAAATCTTCAGAAGACTCAAAATATGAAATAGAAAAGCAAAACATTCTCAGCCGAGAAAAACTGTTAACGGATGAAGTTAAAAGGCATGCAAATAAACTTTTGAGAGAACTTGATCAGAGAAAGGAGATCCTTGTGAAATCAGTGAATGATGTAGAAAATAGATCAGAGAAGATCAATAAAGATTTTGACCTCAGAAAGAAGATTTTAAGCCAAGCCTTAAATTTGAATAATGCCAATCAAGTTTTCAACATATATTCAGAGGAGAAAACTTCAAGACACCAAAGAATTGTTCCTGTCAACACTATATTTCCTAAGTTGCCTAAGTTTGTCCCCGGTAAACTGGTCATTCAAGATTCCTACCTTGGAGAATTAACTGAACCTGATTTTGACCAAAAGCAGTATCAATTAAAAGTAATAAACCAATACAAAACAAAGCTTCAACGTGTTCAAAATTTAGTCTGCTTGGAAAATGCAACAGTTTGGGTAGGTCATTTTGGCAGCCATAAAATACAAAAAATGAGACTGACAAATGAATCATTACATCAGATGCACAAGATTAAGATAGATTCAAATGACATGGCATTACTACCATCTGGTGACCTTCTCTTATCTACAAGGGAATCTAACCTTCAAATAATTTCATGCAGTACCAGTAAAGTGGAACCATCCAAGTACAGTGTATATCCTTTATTAACCATTGCTGTTCATGTAACAAGTGACCATAGAATCTTAGTGGGTGTAAGAGAGGACCAACCAAAACCGTTCCCTGTTAATGGTCCTAGACAAGTCATCATGATGAAAATTGATGGGAAAAGGGAAACAGTGTATCAAACAGACAACAAAGGGAAAGCTATCTTTTCACTTCCCTTCAAGATAACTACAGACAATGACAACAACATTTATGTCATTGATGTTCTAGATGAAAACTGGAGTGGTAGAATAGTAGCATTAGATAAAACCAATGGAGTGAGATGGATATACATTGCCTATCCAGATATAGACAAGGAACAAACATTCAAACCTGATGACGCAGTTGCTACAAAATCAGACAATATTATAGTTACAGATCATAGGCATCACATGATTCATATCCTCAATACTTCAGGGCAGTGTATTCATTACCTGAACACCAAGGATCAGTTAGATATTAGGTTACCATGCTCTATAGACATTGACAATACAGGAACAATGTACATAGGCTGTAATACATACAATAGTGAACCTGACGAGGCCAAAATATATACTGTTCAAGTTTCTGGATTCTGATTTACTGATTTTGATTATTTCATGTATTCATATCATCCTTTTATTTATGTACTGGTATTAACAAAAATAAATTGTATTGTTGAACCTCATGTCATCTGATTTTTGGTGTCCAATTGACATATAATCTAAATTGCTTCTTCTTATATTTAGAATTTAGAATTTTTGTATAAAATTATAGAGAGATTAAGGTTCCAACTCCCTCATGGAAAGTTGACATTACATGAATTTGGCTTATTTTAGGTCCAATTTGATTATATAGCTGTTCACATGATTAGGTCTTATACATCCTTGGCTCCCAAATGTATGTGTTTGAGCATTACTGATGAAGGTAAATCCCAAAAAGTGCTTCAGACCTACGAAATTGATTAAGTGTTATTGTTCAAGTTTTCAGGAATTGCTGTATACCAATAATATTATCAGAATTTTATATGTTCTGTTGCATTAACTTAACCAGAGTCGACTGATTGATTGATTATTTGTTGCTTAACCTCCAGTGGCAAATATTTCATGCATGTTCAGGACAAGAACAAATTAACAATAAATACAATAGATAGGCCATGCAATAGAGGCAGTCTGGGATGAAGGTTGGGAAAATTTGGACTGCCATTGGAAAGTAACAGAAATTTTACCTTGCAAAAGGCCACCTACTGACCCCTCAAAGAGTTGTTGCAAGGGATTAAATGTGCAGAAAGCATAGCAATCACTCTACACGAGGCATCAGATTTATCATCCAAATTCTAACAGGACGTGGCTGTGTATTTGTTCATCCTGCACAGCCAAAGGGACAATAAGGTTATTGTTACAGCTTTAGACTAATAAATCAATTATCATAGCCAAAAAAAAACAAAAAAAAAATGTAAAGAATTACTATAGCTCCTAACATATTTCAGTTTTTATACATCTCTGGCTTTCCAATGTTTAGGTTTGAGCATACTTGATCAAGGTAATTAATCTAGAAAAGTGCTTTGGGACACACACAATTTATAAAATGTTACTTCATTTACTAGCACTGGGTCAATACCACTGCATGTGAAATGTTATTCCTTGGTACTGATATGCTTTATAACATACCTTTTTTTTCAAATCCCCTTAAATAAAAGCAAAATTGACCTTAAATGTAAGTGACTATCTTTTTACGTCCCTTTAGGTCATAAAGCTCATAACATTTATTAGATATTTGGTTTGATATGAAGATAAATCCAGAAAAGCACTTCAGACACAGGAAATTCATAGAGTGTTTTTGTTTTCATTATGCAGTACATAAACTGGTATTAACATTACAGTGATAAACAAATTGCTTCTGTTAAATTAAAAAATATATTAGCTACTTCTTCCCTCTACTACTAACAAGTATAAAAGGCCCATGAAGTCATTCATAAAATTACTTCAACTGCTGTTGGTCAGTTTTGCCATTCCTGAAAGTTTTATGATTGATGATTGATTGTTGGTCGATTAACTTCCAGTGGCAAATATTTCATGCATGTTCAGGAAAAAGACAAATTAACTATAAATACAATAGATAGGTCCTGTAACAGAGGCAGACCGGGATGAAGGTTAGGAAAATTTGGACTGCTACAGGAAAATGAGGGTATATTGGATAAGGACCAAACTTTTAGCTTTGCAACATGCCAGCTACAGACCCTTGTTACAAGGGTTCTTCGTGCAAAGAGTGTGGCACTCTCTCTACACAAGGCATCAGATTTATCATTCCCATTCTGAGAGGATGAGGCTGTGTATTTGTTCATCCTGCACAGCTAAATGGACACCCCACTTTGGCAAGGGTTTAACTGCCAAGGCCAATGGTGACCATATTTGTATTCCCAAGTCACCTTTGGGGGGATTTTTTTTTTGAGAAACTCTTATTAAGACATTTACTGTAAAGTACTTTACCATATATGTCATATAGAAAATGTGTAAATACTTCCAAAATACTTATACAAGAGAGGCTGGAGATACCAAAGAGAGGTCAAGGACAAACTGACAATGCCATGGCAAAACACAAAAATGACCAAAAGTATACAAACCCCACCAAACACCAGGGGTGATCTCAGGTGTACCAGAAAGCTGAGCAGATCCTACTCCACATGTACAACTGAAGCCAAAGTATAAAGACACTATTACCTTTGCAATGCAGCTGCCTCTCAAATAAATATATGTGTTTAAGAGAATGACATATTAGTAGCATGAACCACATTGCAGCAAAAAGATGCAGAAATCTAGCCAGAAAATCATTTACGTGTATTCATGATATGTGTACATGCATTTACTAAAACCAAAAGGTGTGGATTTGAAGAATGTTCTCAAAGGATCATAATTTCGAAGCTAAAAATCAATTCCATTGCAGTATGAAACTACAATTGTAATGAAGGCTAAAGACAAATACAACAAAAAACCCTGTCTTAATCACAAATGACAGCCAATATGATAATCTACATGTGACCAAACATGCTAGCATTCTTAAAAGCACATGGCAGAGACTATTAATCCTCTAAGATTAAGGATAAACAAGAAAGCTACTCTGTAGTCAAATGTCCCCCACGCTGAATACTGTGGTCTGTGGATTCATTTACTTTCGTGGGTACTAATTTTTTGCTGGTTGAGGAAAAATTGTATTCCTTTCATGGACATTTGATTTCATGGTTTTGCCAAAGTCTGCATACAAGCATAGAGAATATTTGTACTTCGGTGAAATTTAAATTCATGGATCCCCTATACCAACGAAATCCATAAAAATTGGTATCCCATGAATAATAATGAATCAACAGTCAGTGAGGAATTAAATAATGTGTCACAATGTGTCATTGTGATATGAGAATCATATAAGAATGATGGTATAATATGGTCATCTACATGTGATGGCAACCAATCCTAGAAAGTAGGAAAGCTTTATGTCAAATGCTCTCAAGAGGAGTTGTGTTCACAAGGTGAAACAATAACAATACTCCAAAAAATAGTCTAAGTCCCATAACTTGCATAAATCTAGTAAAAATGGCCCAATCAAAATGACAGTAAAATATGGTCAACGACACATGATTGCATAGAGTAGTACCAAGTATGAGAGCTTTCTGTAAAACAGTCTCAGAGAAGTTGGATTCACTGGGTATTATTGTCACAATACTCCTAAAAAGTCAAAGTCCCATAACTTCCATAATAAACTGTTAACACAGAGATATGTCTTGTCTGTATGCTATTTTGACAGCAAAATGTAAATGTTGAAATGTAAATGGTCAGTTCTCCGAAGATTTTTTTTACATATTTCTTTAGGCTTAAACGTAAAACGTAGTCCAATACAGATGTATTGATGGCATTTAAACATGTTAAACCATTACATTACCCAATCTGAAGATTCCTGTAACATTCATTTTCAATAGAGCTGCATGATACTTGCATGAAATGCTGATGCATGTTCGGGGTTGGTTGTTAGACATCTTCTTGTACTTCAGTTTCCATGTAGCTGCATGTGAATATATTCAATATGGAGCAGATTATTTTTCAATATTCAAATAGTACTTACATGACAGGCTAATGCATGCTCACTCATCTGTGACAGTATGATGCTGGAGAGGTCAGAGGTCTGCTGTAAGATAAGGTCAGTCCCTATAATCTGGACTAGGTTACTTAACATCCCATATTTTCCTTTGCTTGACCAGCTGACATCGAAGATCAGTTTCTTTGTCAGATTCTGTAGGAAGATATCGGTTCTAATGTCTGATGAGTTGGCCATGGTGTGGATTTTAAGAACATTCTCAAAAATTTCTCTGGCAATGATTCTAATGACCTGTAAAATAAGTAAAAGATCCTGACAAAAATAAAACAAAAGCATATGGCTAATTCTGTCCACTTGATTTTTACATTTTAGTACACATCAGGGGGGGGGGGGGGATATTGACAGACATTATTACAAGCAATTTATGCCATCTGATTGGGTCATTGGTGTGTGCAGTACAGATGGAAGTGATATTACAAAGTATATAAAAGTGTATCCTCAATTTAGAAATAGTACATGCTAAGTTTGACAGAATAAGAGTAATCGGGACTCAATCTAAAAAGTAAAGATTGAGGTACATAATACCTATATTTGATGTTTTGAAACATGCATCTGGAAACATTTGCTCATCACCAATTTATACCATAAATGAATAATAAAAACAGAAAACCCAGCAAAATCAAAATTACTACCAACAGATGCTAAAACTCATCTGATTAGAAAACTTGCAATGAACAATGCAATTAATTCATATTAAATGTAGCATGACTGAAAAGAGACGAGATATTCAAATGCATATCAAAAATCACTAAACATCTTGAAAATGTAAAAAATCCTGTAATCATGGTGAAAAGGTTAGGCTACTTTACTGTTTTCAAACATGCTGAAATGCAAGAGCATGGAAGCATTAATGTCATCTTCAAAAACTGAATATGTCAGGAAACCTATAAACATTTGAATTTTAAAAACCCGTTGCTAGAGCATGTCTAAGGAGGTGGAGCCTCATATACTTCATGCAAATAAGAGTCTAAGATACATGGATTATATTGTAACTGTATACCAAATATAAATAATTTTGTCTATCATAAGTACATTTTTTAAAATTGAAATTAAATTATCAAAACTCAAAACTCTCCCCAGATAATAGTATCTATGCCTTACTGACCTATGTTACAGAGAAAACAATAAAAAATAAAATGTGTAGTTATGAGATGGTAAAACTAATTCATAACAATCCAACATCAAGATTCAATGATTTATACAGGTCATCAAGTTATCAATTTGATTCTTAAAATGAGAAGAAGATTGATTGATTAATGTTTACATTATGTCACTTCAGTTAAAAGGACATGTAAGAATTTATTTAGACAAAATGGTCTTCATTATGTTAAAACAAGATGAATTATATACCCAAAAAAATTCAATACTTAAACCATGTTATAAAAAAACATGTTTAACCCCGCCGCATTTTTGCGCCTGTCCCAAGTCAGGAGCCTCTGGCCTTTGTTAGTCTTGTATCATTTTTAATTTTAGTTTCTTGTGTATAATTTGGAGTTTAGTATGACGTCAATTATCACTGAACTAGTATACATATTTGTTTAGGGGCCAGCTGAAGGATGCCTATAGGTGCGGGAGTTTCTCGCTGCATTGAAGACCCATTGGTGGCCTTCGGCTGTTGTCTGCTCTATGGTCGGGTTGTTGTCTCTTTGACACATTCCCAATTTCCATTCTCAATTTTATAAATAAAAATTGATATCACATATTCTGATTTCAGGATATACAGAGAATTCTTTTATTGTCGTGGGTACCAATTTTCCAAGATTGAGGAACAATTGTATCTTTGTGAATACATGATTTCGTGGTTTGGTCAAAGTCTGCAAACAATCCTATAGAAAACGTGTATTTCATTGAACGTTTAAATTCGTGTTTGAATTTTTTAAAACTAGTATCCCAAGAATGATAACGAATCCACAGTATATCATTTATGTAGACAAATATGACTTATAGTGAAAAAAATATGACTTATAGTGAAAAGGAAAAGAACATCAAAGGTGGACAACCACGACTAAATATGGTACATAATTTGATCTGCTAGTAATCATAGTTCTAAATCTGATAACTAATCAGTTGCAAATCTTGTGGAAAACAAATAAATGTGGTAGATGACTGTTTTCATTGAATAGTAGAACATTGGTATTTGGAACCAAAGCAGTATAAAAACGCTATATATGGCAAATGATAATGAGAAGGATGATATAAAATGAATAGTAAATGAAAAAGGGTTGGATAGTACACATAGAAAATTTATTTAGACTACCACAGGAAATACATCAAGAACTTAGTAGGGTAGTAAAGATTAGCCTCAGTATAGGCCCCTGATGTGTGAATTCTCATCTAATGATGCTGGAGGTAAAATTGAAAGGTAAAAAGGTAAAATTCATTTAAGAAACGATATCAACTATATACAAGTGTAGATTTAAAAATATGAAAGAAACAAATATGTTTTTGGGATCTTGATTGTGACAGGAATATGGCACTCTCCAAACAAGGGACACTCATTCATCCTCCATTCCAAATGATGGGTTGAGTATTTGATACATCCCACACAGCTGTGGATATCCCTTAGTTGGGTCAAGATGCACAATTCATCTTAAATAGGCGGTAATGGTAGCCTTTTCCTCAATTCCTGTACCAATATTGTAAACTTGGATATGTATGATGAGTCATTTCAAAGCTGGGCCCATTAGGGACACAACCCTGTTGGGGTTGTACCTCTCTGTAAGAGCACCTAGGTACCACAGAGTTCCCTTGCATGTTGATTGAGTGTACAAAAAAAAAAGAAAATGCATGGCAAGAACCACAGAAAACAATTGGTGATATTAAGTACAAAAGATTTCATTCATGAAATATTTCTTATATCAAATTGTTTTTCTGAAGTCTTCAATCTACCATTTATATACAATGTATATTTGATAAGGAGAAAGGTTTCTTGTTTCCTTACGTTTATATACCTACATCAGTTGTGTCTTCCCAAACTGTCCAAACACATGACATGATGGCCTCTATAATCTGACCTCCACCACATAGCAATGACCTCTGTTTGTCTGATACTACTTCAGATTTTAAACATGAACTGAAAGAAAAAATATAGCATCACAAACTCTTGTAAATTTTGGAAATATCAAAATAAATTTCTCAACCTTACCAAAATACATTTTCAACCAGCCTTACCTAAACTAAGCATAATTCAGAGTTTGGATCAAGCTGCATACATAAAATTGAAGATAATAATCATTACCTTTTAATGTGTAATTCATTTATATATACATACCAAGTTTTAGAAGTCCACATATTGTAGCACTTTGCAGTTAACAATTTACTGATGGAGTTTGGATATCTGAAAAAGAAAAATCATAATTAATTATGTAATAGTTTTAGTAGTTCTAGACATAGGGCAACTATGTACATTAAGTGCAGATGGTACAATGGAAAAGAAAAGATATGGTGAATCAATGCATAATACAAAATCACTTAAATATCTAAAAGACTAAAATGCCATATTAAACTGAAATAATCTAAGAGAATGCACCTCAAGAATTGGAAAACTATTTACGGCCTCCATACTTGTCCTATAGATGTCTTTTTCATATAATAGGTTTTAGGTCTCATTATCCTATATCCCAAAGCTTTCTTTATTTCTAATAAGAATCTTGCACATAATACTAAACTTGGATATTAGTTTAGAAATAAATGAAGAGTTTATATAAAAAAAATGAATTAAAATAATTATTTTTGTTATATATTCTTCATATACTTCAGCCATTTCCAACAAATATTATGAAATCTACAACTCTTTCTTACCAAGAATTTTACCAGCTTCAAAATATCTCAAGAATTCAAACAGAATTTTATTTATTAGTTTTTTTGGCTCTGAACTAGCTGCCAGTAACTGAGAGTACTCTCAGATCTGTACTTAGTGTCTTTTTTGTTGTAGAGATGTATAAATACCCTGCCATGTCAGGTCTGTGTTTTTCTCCTTTGTATAGATCTGACGAGTTAAGCCTTTTTCAATTGATTTTTATAGTTTGTTCTTATGTTGTAATGTTACACCACTGTCCCAGGTATGGGGAGGGTTTGGCGCACCAGCAAACATGTTTAACCCCGTGGTATACTGTAATTGCCTGTTACAAGTCGGGAACTTGTAATTCAGTGGTTGTCGTTTGTTGCTGTATATTATATTTGTTTTTTGTTCATTGTTTTGTACATAATTCAGGCCGTTAGTTCTCCAGTTTGAATGGTTTTAAATTTGTCATTTTGGAGGCCTTTTATAGCTGACTATGCGGTATGGATTTTGCTCATTGTTGAAGGCCGTATGGTGACCTACAGTTGTTTTCTTCTATGACATTTGGTCTCTGGTAGAGAGTGGTCTCATTGGCAATCATACCGCATCTTCTTATTTTTACCATATATTAACCAAGTATCATATTTCATTTTGCCTTATGCTATTAAGTCAAAGTAAATATCTAGACATATCTGTTTAATGTGAGACAAACAAAGTCATTCATACAATATTATTGTAATGGAACATTTGGGAAGTTCAACTTCTATCCTAAATTAATATATTGAAAAGTTTCTTTGTATCAATGTAATGGCACATTTCAGAAGTTTAATTTCTATTCTGAATTATTATATTGCACAATTTCAATTCTTAGTATAAATGTAATGGAACATTTGGGAAATTCAACTTCTATCCTAAAATATTATATTGAAAAGTTTCAAAGTCCTTGTTATATTGTAATGGAACAAGTTCAACTTCTATCCTAAAACTTTACGTTGAACATTTTTGTTGTATTAATATAATAAAAAAATTCAGAAGTTCATCTTCCTTCCTAAAATAATATGTTGAAAATTCTCACCCTCCATGTAAAGTAATCTTTGCCACATAGATCATTCAAAATCTAGACCCATAACGCAACAGCATTTATAAATTGTTAATTGATCGTTATCAAAGCTTACCCATTTTCTGATATTTTTGTCAGGGATGGAAATATATAATCAAATAGCAAACATTTCCCATCATGCACTTCTACAAGTTCTGACAGTTCCATTATTGACATTGTGCCATAAAGTAAACTCAGCTGACAAGATAAGTTATCTTCCCTGGCCAAGGTTGGAAAATCTGAATTATCAGCACAAGTTTTGTTTGTATCCTGAAATATGTACTCCACAACCTGTGAAAATAGATGTGTACTACTGTGAAAGTATAAGAATGTGTTACAAAATCATTTGAAACAGTTTTATACTATCAAAGTTAGAGAAAGTTAAAAGGCATGGTTTATCTAATTCTATTTCTCTTTGTTGTTAATATAGTTATCTTAATGAAAACCTGTTCTATATAAGTTTTCAAGCAAAATTCATTATTTTCTGTAATGGTGAAAGTGCAAGCTTGATTAAAAGTGTATTTAAAAAATATCTGAATAAGCGTCAGATAAAAAAATGTCCTAGGGTTCCAATTCCTTATAATGTCAGTGATTGTAGATTTCACTACACGTTTTTCATCTATAGATGATTCCATGATAAATTTAAATATCTGGATGCTGATCCACATTTCATCTTTTAATGTCTTAACTCAAATAAGGAGACATGATATTCACTGGTGTTAATATGTCTTTTGATTGAGTTAATCCATTTCAATTGATATTTTATAGTGTGTCTTTCTATGTTGTGATGTTACACTATTGTTTCAGATAAGGGTGGGGAAGGTTTGGTACCATTAAAACGTTTAAACCCGCTGCAATTGTTTGCACCTGTCCTAAGTCAGGAATCTGATGTTCAGTAGTTGTCGTTTGTTGATGTGGTTCAAAAGTATTTCTCGTTTTTTTATATAGATTAGACTGTTGGTTTTCCCGTTTGAATGGTTTTACACTAGTAATTTTTGGGGCCCTTTATAGCTTGCTGTTCGGTGTGAGCCAAGGCTCCGTGTTGAAGACCGTACTTTGACCTATAATGGTTTACTTTTATAAATTTTGACTTGGATGGAGAGTTGTCTCATTGGCACTCATACCACATCTTCTTATATCTATGGTATGATTTCCAATGAGACAACTATCTGACAGAGACCAAAGGATGTGGATGCCATGACAGAATGCTGTCAAATATTTGTTTTGGTAATGCCATACCTTTGTAACAATGCTCTTAGGAAATTTCAGCCTGATCAGTAAGATCACATTTATTGCACATGTTGTTTTACAATCCATCAAAAACTCATCTGTAATAAAAAAAAACCAAACACATCATAATTTTAAATGAAAATAATTTCTGAAGTTTTAAAAGTTTGCAAAATTTCATAAATCACAGCTAAATCTGTGACTTTGAGATGTAGAACAGCAATAAAAGCACTGTTTATTTTTGTAAAGTGCATGTAGATATTTTGTGTCATAAATTGATGCTAACATATCTTCTTTCTTATTCAAATTACTGATGATTCATTTTTTTTCATGGATACCAATTTTTGTGAATTGAGGAAAAAATGTGTTTTTATAGATATTTGAATCCATGGTTTTGCCAAGTCTCCATACAAGCCTTTTGAAAAAATTTATTTTGTTAATAACAATTAAATTTGATGTTTGTCTTTCCCCACAAAATCCAGAAAAATTGGTATGCAACAAACAATAATGAATCCACAGTATAACTGTGATTGCTATTGGAATAATGTAAGGGATCTATTCTTCTGATCTTGGGCAGAAAAATATATTTACAATGATATAAAGGAGGAAACACTTAATTCAATTTCTTCTCCCTATAAAAATGTTTATTTTGAATTTGTTTCTAGAAAGATGGGAGAGTTATAATATTTGAAATAGCTCTAGCCGCAATATAGCATTTAGCATTTTGTTAGTGGTTATTGTTTTCTATTGAAAAAAACTTTATCTTTTAAAAATAAATGCAAGAATGTAAAACAAAAATCACATAGTTGTTGCTAATTAGTTTATACCAATATGTAAATTCAATTTACGAATATATTTCAAAAAAACTTTTATTCATGTGAAACTTCCAGTCTTAGTTGATTTTGAGGTTCCATCAGGCTTTACTTATATTAGTAAACAAATTCTGAATGTCTAAGGGATATAACTCTAACTCCAAAATAATTTACCTTCAATAAGTAAAAATCACTTGTATAAGGTTTATCCCTGACTGTCAAGCTAACTGTTTTATTACAAAAAAAAAAAAAAAAAACACAACAAAAAAGAGAGTGAGTGAAAAAGGAACTTTTTTTCCTGTTAACTGTATAATTAAAATTTACAATTCTTGAAATCTGTTTTAACCTTCTGGTTATAAAGTCCACCACTATGGCACTAGTGCAAAATCTGGTAGTCTAATAAAAAAATTTTGAAATCAATTATTTCGATGGCTACACTTAATACCAGAAAGCACCCCCCCCCCCAAAAAAAAAAATATTACCAACACAAACTTTTAGTTTGACATCAGGACCACCTCTACACCCAAAATTGGTAGACATGTCTGAATTTTTGGTGGTCAGTGTCCTGACAGGATTGCCAGTTTTTGAGCATACTAAAAAAAATTCATCCCACAAGAATTTGATCTTGTTTCTATTTTGCATTACCAGGGTACATTACCTGTGTGTAAGATGTTGATATTGTGTTTTATTAATGATGTTGTTACAGTGCCGATTCCCTCCGATTGTTTACTTGATAATGTACAGTGGCTTTTCTGTAAAATTCTGTTCCCTGCCTGGATGCAAGCTAGACAGCTATGCATCAACTCATTTTGTCTAACAGAGGACTGTGTTGAACTATAATGAAAAGAAATTTAATAATGTTGCTAGGTTGCTGTCACATTACATATGCATTGCATCTCCTGCTCTTTATATCGACAGTACTTAGAAAATTACTGGGAATAATGGGGTTCCTCTGTCAAATATCATAGTATTGCATTTAATAATATGAATTGCAAATATATGTTATCTTGTATAAAAGTTTCTGACATTTTTAATTCAAGAGTTATTATTCAAGCCTCTCTGAGGCTTACAGCAGCTAAAAAAATATATCTTGATGCCTGATGGTTAATAGCATAATTACATTTGTACCTTTATAAATATGTTATCTATCAGTACAGTAGAAATAATATCTCATTGCATACTGACATTGGAATCGAAAAAAATAAGGTATTGTGCCTCATCACTGTGAATGTTACAAAAAAGTTATAGGGTTAATGTCAATGTGATAGGAAAGCAACCCAACATAATAAAAAACAAAGAGTTTGCATTTTGCATGTACAAAACCACATAGAAATCATGAAAATATATAAATGAATTGGGAATGTGTCCATGGGACACAGATGATGCCCACGCTTGCATACAACATCATAAAGGGACATAACTCTAGAATGGTAAAGGTGACGCTACCAAAATTCAAATTTGATCTGTGTTTTGTGGTAATAAGCATTGCTCACAAGTTTCATAACATTTGGTGAAGGCACTCTAAAATTGGAGAACAGAAACAAAAAATTCAGCAATTTTTCCATTTGTAAAGGGGCATAACTCTAGAGCGGTAAAAGTGATGCCACCAAAATTCAAACTTTATCTGTTTTTTTTTGTGGTAATAAGCATTGTGTATAAGCTTCATAACATTTGGTTGAGGCAAACTAAAGTTAGAGAATGGAAACGAAAAATTCAGCAATTTTTCCATTTGTAAAGGGGCATAACTCTAAAACAGTAAAAGTGGCACCATCAAAATTTAAACTTGATCTGTTTTTATGTGGTAATAAGCATTGTGTATAAGTCTCATAACATTTGGTTGCGGCAAACTAAAGTTAGAGTATGGAAACCAATTTTGGGATGCAAGTACGGACAGACGGACGAACGTACAGACAGACAAGGGTTAAACTTAATGCCTCCTCCGCTACGGCGGGGGCATAAAAAGTATGATTGATAATCCTTACCTGTTTTCAGCCAGAAACCTTGATAAAATAGAGGATACATTCTGTAGAATTTCTAAGCACTGGTTGTCTATACATTTCTGACCTGTAACACATTCAAATAAACATGTACATGTATCATGTGTGTGTATTAGTATAATGTGTGTGTATAGTATTATGTGTGTGTATATGTATCATGTGTGTGTAAAAAAAATGACAACATACTGCAGCTCAATATTCTTTATAATAATGAAAGAGCAAGAGAGTGTATGTATAAAAAGAAGATGTGAGTTGACATTCTCATTAATATATGAAGAACATTAACTCAAAGACTGCTGTTGGATGCGACAGGATAAGAAGTATTGTATCTAATATTCTTTATAATAACAAAAAAGGAGGACAGTGTATGTGTTTACATTTTCATCAATATATGAAGAACATCAGCTCAAAAGTTGCAACATAATATGACGTATTTGTCGAATTAAAACTTAACCTGCATTGGTGGTCTAATGCCAATTTTTAGTTGCATATTTCATAACATTACTTTGAATAAAAGTCACTTAAACCAGAGACTATAAAATTGCTAATTTCTTCTTTCTATAAAGAATGCAGATATGTTCAAATCTAAAATTAAGAAGATAAGGTATGAATGCCAATGAGACAACTATCTCCCAGTGTCCAATTGACGTGGATGTAAGCAACTATAGGTCACCGTACAACCTTCAACAATGAGAAACACATCATGTATAGTAATCTATTAAAAGCCCAGAATAAGAATAGGCCTGATTAATACTTAAACAATTAATAAAAAACCAATTGTGACAGACAGCAACCCAAGACAACAACTGAATTACAGGCTCCTGACTTGAGACAGGCATATCAAGAATGTGGCAAGATAATACGAATTTGTGAGTGCTTAACCCTCCCCTTAAGCATAACTGTTAACAGTTTATTTCATTTTAGCTCCTGGTATATTAAATAATGACTATTAAATCCAACCACATGTTCATGTGTCTGTAATAAGTCAGGAACCTCATAAAGATGTTGTCTCTATTCATCTCAACGTTTGGTGCTGATGGAATTTCTTTGACAAATTTTCTAGGAGATTTAGACCCAAACATATTGTATCTATAGACACTTGTCTATTGTTGAAGACTAATCATTGGTCTCTAGAATTCTTTTGCTATGTGTACCATTTATAGGCTAGTGCCTCTTTGAAGTATACCTGACATCTCCTTTCATTCGGTGGCCATGGTGGCTGAGTGGTCTAAGTAGTTAATCTACTGTATCACTAGCCTGTCAACACTGATGTTGTGAGTTTGAACACCACACGTGACAGGTATATTTGACTACAATCTTAATTGACTACAATCTTAATTGACTACAATCTTAATTGACTACAATTGCCAGTTTAACTACCGAAGGTTTGTGGTTCTCTATGGGCACTCTGGCTTCCTCCACCAATAAAATCTGGCTGTCTTGAATTAGTCAATAGTGCTACAAGTGGTGTTTATCATAAAAAATCTATTAAAGATATAGTCAGGTCAGTTTTTGAATTTTTGTCAGATGTTCGGACTTCTTTGGTTTTTTCCTAGGATACAGGGTAAAATATTTTGCCCCATATCACCTACTTTTCTTTTCATAGAAGACTTCAATAGCTCATAAAAAGGTCATTACCAAAATTTAAGCAGATTCTAGATTTTTTTCTTATGATTTGAGACCCAAATAATGCCAATGCTAAATATAAGGTAAAAGTCCAAGTCAGCCTTTTCCTGCCATTTTAAAAAATTCAAATATCTCAAACAGGAGACCCATAACCTATCAATATTTTTTTTTTTTAACGTAACAATATCTTTATTGCACATTTGCTGTAACAAATTACTAAGTTTACAGCTTTTAACTTAGTATCCCTCATGTTACTTTACCTAATAGTTAAGGGAAGCACTATTTGGTAAGATATAACTTCTTCATAATATAAGTATCTATAATATAATTCATTCCACAAATGTATTTGATAAATTATTGTGATTACACGTACAGATCTTTCTTTTTTTTCTTCTTTTTTTTTTCTTTTTTTATATAACTTAGTTGTCCGGAATCAACTCCGTTATCAATGTGATCGGTGTTCCATTTAATTTTGGCACAGTGCTGCTTCAGCAAACATGTGCGCTATCGGATAGAGTTATGATATGTGTCATCTAAATATTATTATTATAAACAGGATTTAACTTATTTGATATAAACATTTGGTGAGTATGCAAGCTTTTTTTTAATTATCTACTGATCTTTTCTATGTCGACATGTATGTATATTGCACAAGTTATAACATTCATCTGAGATTACACATTATTTCACTACACTAATTTATAATCGTGCTGATACATGTATATCTATTTTTGTTTAACGTTTGTGAATACACATTTCAAAATCTAAAAATACAGTACGTTACATGTCGTGACTCATGCATGGTTGAACATGCTTACAAACATATCTTGGACACATGCATGGTTGAACCCGTTAATAAATATGACCATATTTGGCTTGTGCACAATTAACAATTTTGCATACAATGTTCTGAATTTAGTTACTATAGAAGTATTGTTTCAAAACATCTAACATAGATTTAATTTTGATTCATTTGATTTTTTGCAATACATCTACTGTGGATTCATTTATTTTCGTGGGTATCAATTTTCGTGGATAGAGAAAAAAAGACGTTTCGTGGTATACGTAAATTCGTGGATCGCTGATTACAAACAAAAAAATCAGATACGTAATTCGTGGATTTCTTTTTAATTTAGATCATATAACCTCCTTGGTTTGATCAATAATAAAACAAACAAAAAAGAAGGAATTCATTGAAAAAGTTTTGAATGATCAAAATCCTGGCTTGGTCATTCTAGGTTAAAGTGCTCATTGAAAACTTCTATTACAATACTGTACAGAGACAACTAATTATTTGTTTGTTTTACAATTTATAAATTCTTGTCGGAATTTTATAAGGCATTCAAAACTTTATGATTGAAAGCTCTTTTCCCTAATCACGATATAATAAATAGTCAAATAAGAAAAAGGTGTGAAAATAAATGTTCCTGTCATAAACAAAATTACATACGGGCAATATCCCCGTACTTAATCCTATTGATTTTTAATCACCAGTAAACCAAACTATGACACGGTAATTAACAACTTGCAGTTATTTTCCATGAACAGTTTTGATAAATTTTAAAAAGTAATTTATCACTGATATTCGATATATTTATTATTGATTTAATCAAAATACTTGTATCTACTTTCAATAAAAACACTTGTTATGTTACAATATTTATCGCTAGTCAACACTATACTAGAACTGCATAACATAACCGGAAATAAACATCCGACTCTATACACATTTCTTGGGATTATATTTCGTTGAATTCTTAAATTCGTGGCTCGCTGTGACCCACGAAACCCACGAAAATTGGTATACCACGAATAAAAATGAATCCACAGTATTTGTTTTTAGAATTATCTTACTATTATTTTTGTTGTTAAAGTTGTTTATTTCAATAATTTCTGAAATTTCTTTCTGAAAAATTTAAAAAATGTTTTTTTTTATTTTCTTCTTTTCTGACTATATGTGCTTTGTATATTGAGAAAGATATTATCGTTAATATGTAATTAATATCAAAGTATGCTGTGCCTTTAATTTTGTACACTGTTACTAAATTTTCAAGGATTATAATGTCTTTGTCAATACCAAGAGATTTCATTAATTTCAATACATGTACTATATTTAGAAAGACAGTATTAAATGAGCAATTGACAAAAAAGTGTTCATAGTTTTCTTTTTCATTACAATGCTTACATAAATTGTCCTCGGTAATTTCCACTTTTTTAAAAGTTCATTACATGGCAGTATATGTAGTGAATAAGTTTCCATCTGAATATTGTCAATCTATTGTTAGTGAGATATTGAAAAATAAAAACAAAATTATTTTTGAACTTCGAATTTAAATTTTTCTCAAATAATTTTTCCCACTAATATATGTATAAATATTTTTTAGTTTATTTTGTTCCTTAACTTATGCTCTTCTGACTAATAGTATTAATTTCAAATTCTAGATTTTTTTAATTTCACCTAACTACATCCTTAATCAATCAATTCATATGTTTTCTTATATGATTCATTACCTAATGGAAAATTGTCCATCAATCCAGCCACTGTATCTATGTAATTCCTGAGATCCCCTGAGACTAGACTTATTTTGAGGATACATTCCAGCTGTCTACTTAATTCTGTAACAACAAAGTCACTGGACTGTGAAGGTAAACTCTGGAAGGCACTGCAAAAATTTTAACAATAATATAGACAGAACAGTAAGCATTCATCATTTTTGAAAACATATAATAATTATTCTTCAAAGTGTAAGAAGATGACATTATGTGCTGTGATTTATATCCTTGTTCATGCTTCTTTTCTTCATATTGGCAGCTGCACTGTGCAGGTTTTTCTTGCATATTACTTTTCGACATATGATCTAGATATAAGGCAAATAGAAAGATTTGTGCACGCGTAAAGCTGGTTTACTACTACGAGTGTTTAACGACCTTTAATACCCATGAGGGTCTCTACCGTCGGCTCAAAAGCTGTTTTGACTCCACCACATGTTATACCTGTACCAAGTCAGGGTATCTGAACCATGTATTGTTCATTTTTGTTTTTATTTGTGTATAATCTTGTCTTATTTCATGAAGGATACTTTTGTTGATGGTTAGTGTGGTCTTATGTACTTTCAAATATGTTTGGTATTTACAGTTATCCTTTTTTATTTGTTAAAAAAAAAAATATTAAAGAAATGTAGAATACGAATTGAGTTAAGTAAATTAAGAATTTTTTTTTTTTCAAGTTTGAAGCCCAAGAATAACAGGATAGGTAGGTAAGGATTTTTATTTTGTTACAAGCCGGAAAAAATAGTTTCTGAACAAAGTCAGGTTCAAGTATTATAAATATCTATTTACAAGATTTTTTTATTGATTGGTGTTTAATGCCACTTTCAGCACTATTGACTATTTCGTGGCAGTCATTTTTTTTTTGTGGTGGAAGTACGAGTGCCTGGAGAAAACCACAGACTCCCGACAGGAAAACTGACAATCTTGGTCGACTAAGATTGGAGTCGAGCGCACCTGCAACTTGCAGGATTCGAACTCACAACCTCAGTGTTGAACTACTTATACCACTTGTCCACCAAGTCCCCTCTATTTACAAGAAGTTTAGCATGTATGTAACTGTCAATATGAATAAAGTGATAACAATAAACTTGGTTTTTACCAATTTTGAGTTGCTTTTTTATATAATAAGTTAGTAGTTACAACTGACAAGATGGTTAAAAGTTTACAGTGAAGAAATCCTCATATATGCATTAGGGTCAAAATTAAGGCTGGACCCAAAAACTTTTCATTTCATTTTCGGCTTAACTTTTAACGGAACAAATTTAATTATTTGGAATTTACAAAATAAATCATTACCTCTGATAGCCTTTTTAATAAATGTAATAATTCAAAGATGGGCTAAAATTATTTCACATAGAGTTGATAGTTAAGATTGAAGGACCTCCATTATTGATACATTGATCTCTGTTAATTACCTGATCAAGACTCTTTTGACTTGATGTTTGGCAGGAAATGTAATGTAAATCTGAACCAGCTTCTGTAAAACATTTGTTACCTCCCCTTCATTGGATTTTAATCCTTTACATACCTTCAAAACAATAATAAATACATATAATTACATTACATGTATGTTTCATTATAATACGTTAATTTGATTGGCTAACAGCAATCTCGCGTCGTTCTGAAATTAACATTCATTTCAAAATGAAATGTAACATTCATGATGACACGAGCTTTCACAATAAAGTGCACAGGTAAATAAAAGAAAAACTATTTATTAATATTGAATGCTTCTTTTAGTAATTTTATAGGGTTGTAAAAGCATTGACCGTGCGCACTTCAGTAAACACTTTTACACCCCAATAAATTTACAAAAAGAAGCATTCAATTCTTAAGTGAATGTAAACCTGTTATATTTATGTCATTACACAAATCTAGATTCTGCAGCAGCATAAACATAAAGAATTTTTTTTGATTGATTGATTGTAAATTGTTTAACATAAAGTGGCAGATATTTGACATGCATATTGAAGAGAGGCGAAAGATACCAACGGGAAGATAAAAACATTTTGGAAAAAAAAGATGCTTTAAAAAAGTTGATAATTGTGAAGGACATAATAGTTATGATAGTAGAATTTCATTTCCCTTCAAAATTTTTTTTTTGTAATGAGTGTTTCTAAAGGCAATATCTATCATGGACCTGATCTGTCCCATTCTATCCCTTTGCTTTTGTGTAAAGAGGCTGTTTGTTGACTCATATCAGGCAAAGTCATATTGAAGCTATCATTGAGAAAAATGGTGATTTGCTTTTAAACTATATACAACTGAGGTGCTCCCTGTACAATTACAGGTAATAATACTGTATTATAAAATCAATTCGTATATGAATTGGAAAATACACCATCAAAGTCTCCTTGGAAACTTAATGCATAAGAAATTAGTTGAATGCTAATTTTCTAAATAACTCTTGAGTCTCTGATATATGAATATCAATATTTAAGTGTGTGTCATATTTCAAATAAACTTGCATAACAAATTAAGAAGATCTAGAGTGTCTCATATTTATAGTTTTTGGTTCCTTAAAGCACAAAAATAATTTACTTATATATGTACACTGTTAGTGGATTAAAAGCTTTACCTCTTTAACAACAACTATCTGGTCTTTGACATTCTGTAAATCTTTCAAACTGTCAAGCTTTTCTGTATGTTTCTCTGCAAATATATTTTTTTCAGATTTACTTGCAGGTTCACAATTCAGGATTACTGGCAATGTACATCAGTCTTCAGAATAACATGCAATTTCATTTGATTTTTGTTGCTTTTGTTGGATTTCTCCCTGATTTCAGTACAATGTTTGCATGATGTCATTTCAGATTTGTTTTGATTGCTGTCTCATTGATGTTCACTGCATGGACACAAGATGAAACTGTGTGATTTTTGTCGGTTTTTGAATTTCAGCTTTAAGGGAGTGTTTTTTTTTAACACCAACAGCAGGAACGAAAAAAAAAATGCCCATCAAAATCCAGAAAAGATTTTATCTTTCGGAAACACAAAATGCATTTAACTTTTATATATCTAGTGGATGCCAGGCCTTAAAATTTTCCAAACTGCACAGGTTAGTCTGTACACAGAGTAGTTTTTGAGGTGTAAATACAGCCATTTTTGTCCATTTCTTATGATGAACCTTAACCATTGACTTGGGACGAATAGACTTGGAGCCAATCGGACTTGGAACGACTTGACTAGCATTCATCAGCTTGCACTGGTAAACGTTTTTAGATTGTATGCAGTCGTTGGTGTTTAATATATGTTTAACATATTTGAACAAAATAAGGAGATCAGATGGTATGATTGCCAATGAGACAATTATCAACAAGAATTCAAATGAAGGGGATGTAGGCAATTATAGGCAACTGTATATGTAATAAAATTATGAAAAAGTGTGGCCGAATCGACTATGGCCGAGACGACTGTGGCCGAAACGACATGTGGCCGAAACGTCTCTGTACCTGTGTACTTTGTTGATTGTTTATATAAATTTCTGTCCTGATAGCCTTTACATGTATGTTGTGACCATAGCGACTTGACTGCAAATCAGATGTATACCCCGTTAATCGTCTACGTGCATTTAAAAAAAAAAGTATACCCCTAGTGCCCTACTATCCAAAACGGTTTTGTGACAGTCTTAGATTATGATACAAACCCATTTTTCAATCTAATTTAGGTAGACTACATGCAAGTTTATTCTTCCTATATTAACTGCAAATTCATAAACACGAGAAACCCAACTTTGTTTTTGCTCGCATTTTGTAACATGGGCGCAGACATCTTTTCATCCCGCAGCAAATTTACTTTAATTAAAGAAAATTGTTTATTTAAGATATACAAAGGTATTTTATATATTTTCTCATGTCTACAGCATCTTTTTATTAACTTTGTATTTCTTGCTGGTCGTTTAAAATAATTTAGCAATGTCCTTGACCGAAACATTCGCCCCGTTAACTCAATTAAATATTTTGTTTCCGGTAAGTTAATTTCGTCTGCAACATTTCTACTTCCACAGCCCCCGGACATTTAAAAAGTAATAGTGAAACCCTTTAGGGGTAAGTTACAATTTCTTGATCTGATTTGAGGTAGGTGTTACGTGTGAGAGAGGACAAATTCCGTATAAGAAGCTATTTTTTATAGCATTACTTATTTTTGTTTAAATTTAAATTTATTTTAAAAGAAATAGAATAAGTTTTGAATCTTATTTCTAGGGCCATCAATTATTTTTACATTAGGTAATGATATAATAGTTTACAAAAAATAATTTGAATTTCAATAGACGACTATCACTTTCGAATAGACCACTTTCGAGTTCGTTGGCGTTGCATTTCTGTCAAAATTTACAAAAACTTTGGTTTTAGTGAACATCATTCGTGCGTTTAGGAGCATCTTCACTTCCTTACCATGTTGAGTGAGAAGTTGAAAAATTATGATGCTATATTGCACGAATTATTTGGCACATTAAATCCTTATAATTTATAATCAGCACTGTTAACGTTGTTATTAGGGAATTGTGATTAAGTACCTATGGAACAAACATTATTTCTAGATTAGCCTGCATAATGACGATCACGAAGACACTTCATGAACTTTAATAGTGCAGGGATACAGGCCATCCCCTCTATCTGGTAAATGACATATAGGGGCACATAATTGACAAACTTTTCCGATGCAGGACATAGCTTGAAAGTGGTCTATTTGTGCACTTTCCCATAAATTTCCTATGTCACAATGCTGAGTATGTTATTACGTCATAGTAAAAACTGATTGTTTGATGAAATCGTTTACGCCTATATAGACCTCGGGTCAGACAGTGTTAATCATTCATAAAAAACTACTTCAGATTGGTGTGTTAAATGCATACTGTGAGTATTCATAAGGCCAAATACAAATATATTTGTGGTTCCAGTTAACCGACTGACCCTTGTTCATGTAGTTTAAACCCCAAGACCTTAGAACTTTTTTTTCCATTTCTGAAAAATAAAATTTGAACAATCCCATTGGAATGTAAATTTCAATTATTAAATTCACAGACTTCTGTCATCTGAATTTCCATAGAAGTATCCACTACGGCTAAAAATGCAACAAATTCTTAACAGAATGCAACAAAATTAACTAAGAACGTAACATGTCTGTTTATTACATATAGAAAATGGTGAACTTCCAGTAAGGGCGAGTATAATACAAGAATCGGACTTGGTGAGAACACAAGATTTTTTCACAATGATTGAAATTTGTATGGAATGTTTTGGATCACTGAGGACAGGTTAAGTTCAATTTTCATCATTTCAATTTTACTGCTCCAGAGTAATAGTACTTGAATGTTGTGAAAATTTAAAAGGCAGTGTCTGCGCGTACCCGCATGCGGGTACGAATAGTCAAATTGCCATTCATAGGCTACGCGTACCCACATCCGGTTTTATAATACGTGAAACATATACCGAAATTATCGATAATATGGGGATTTCGTGTAGAATGAGTGAAGAGTATGAAAAATAATATTTTCAAATTGTATTTATTAGATAATGATACATAATAAACATTGCAAATTAAATGCACACTGATGGAAAATGAAACTGTAGTGTACAGTCCCTGTAAAAGAAAAACATGATAAAAATTAATACTATTATAAAATGTGCCGTTTTCAAGATAGTCAAATAAACATTTATTGATCTCATGATTTTGAGAACTGTGTGATTGCCTCACAATCAGGTTTTGTCCATCTTTAGTTACGCCAAGTTTAAAGCGGAAAGGACATTCCATTTGGAAAGTACTGAAAGTAGACATATCCCTAATATCATGAACGGTTTACAATAGAAAAACTAGAAGTATTCGACATAAAAAAATAAACTTGACTAATGAATGAAACGCGGCAAATTTGATTAAAAACTATAATTTAAAACAATATTAATACCTTGTATTAGGTCTTTTTCCTGTCGAACTTGTTTGGAATTTTTTGCCACCGTGAATACAGGAAAAATTTATTCTTTAACAGAATAAATTCCTCTTTAATTTTTGTGTTTCCAGTTCTTCTTTTCTCTGCAGCTGCAATTGACTCCGAGTTTCTTTTATACAATTGTATAAAATTAATCGACTGATAGTTCTGAACAAATTGTTCCAATTCATGATAACTTTGAAATGTCTTCCCCACATGTATATCACTCTCTTCCATATTTACTAACTGAGAAAAACTGTTCACTTACCTATATATAAATATTTATAAAAATTCTGAGTAGTTTTAATCAATTTATTCACTTTTAATTTATTGCGACAAATTCCGTATATATTTCACGTTTAATTCATGTGGGTACGCGTAGCCTATGAATGGCAATTTGACTATTCGTACCCGCATGCGGGTACGCGCAGACACTTCCAATTTAAAATGCTTTTGGTTTCCTGATAAAAAATGAAGAACCCCTTTTATTAAAACGATTGAAATTTAAATGGAATGTTTTGGACTTAAAGACAGGTCAAAATCTATATATATATAGATTTCACTCTTACTGTTCCAGAGTTATGGTACTTGATTGTTGGAAAAATTCATAATGTCCAAAATGGTGGCTGACTTCTCAATTTAACAGTGTCTATCTGCCTCAAGAAAAAACACAAATCCATATGCTGCCAATAATGATGGCAAGGTACACTTCAAGATTATAAGGGTGATAGTTGAGATCTACAGTAACTTGATGTAGGGTACTAATTTGCTAAAAATCCTTCTCGATCGCATTGTTGATTTTTAGAAATGAATGCAACTATTAAATGGTGGGTTATTTAGTATAAAAAATCTCTCTGTGTATGTCATACCGTAGGTACAAATGTATATAATATGACTGTGTGAAATTAGAATGAAAATTATCACCAGCAATCACCCTGTTTCACAGTGAATCACTCAAAAACCAGTAAAAACTGGTTTTAACTGTATAATAGAAAAGAAAGGATATGGGGTATCAATCCATGATGCAAAATCAGTATGTGCACAGCAAAAAACACAAAAAGCAAAGGAACAGCGCTTTTATTGCTAGTCTTCATCTTGAAGTCACAATGAGGCCTTCAACACGGAGCAAAAAGCTCTCACCTCACTGCAAGTTTAAGACGGCACCTACCACTGGTTTAAGCGGAATTCTTTGCAAACTGACGATCACACCACAACTGTGAATTCAAGAACAATGCCATGGAGTAAAGGCAATGAATCTTTGATTATTTGTTATTATTGAATGCCTTCCAGCAACTATCAAGATGTAGAACATCAATAAAAGCATTGTTGTCTATGTTACATGTATATCGCTTATACAATGTATCTATAATAGGGACGATCTATTTTGCTCAAAATTCCTTGTATCGTAATTTAAAATTGAGAAATGAAATATCTTGATAGGTATTGGTTATATGCTGTACACTGTTATTGCGAACCCAATGAAAGTTTTCCACAGTGCCATCTCTATCTTGACCAGGTATTTAAACTTTTGCAAGTTCACCTGTCCTATTGAATGAATACAATAGCTATTTTTCTCTGTGTAGTTTATTCACTGGGACCTTTAAATTTCTTCTAAGAGAAATCTATCATTCATTGATTAAATTACCTGTGTAAAAAAAAATTCTTATATATAGACAAAAATACTTTTTTTATACTCATTAATTGCATGTGCTGATGTATTTATTCAATATTATTGCGAACCCAATGAAAGTTTTCCACAGTGCCATCTCTATCTTGACCAGGTATTTAAACTTTTGTAAGTTCACCTGTCCTATTGAATGAATACAATAGCTATTTTTCTCTGTGTAGTTTATTCACTGGGACCTTTAAATTTCTTCTAAGCATGCTAAGAGAAATCTATCACTCATTGATTAATTCACCTGAGTAAAAAAAGTTCTTATATATAGACAAAAATACTTTTTTTATACTCATTAACTGCGAGTGATGATGTATTTATTCAATATTAATAATATAGTTTCATTCAGTTTAATATAAACATTGATTCAATCATAAAAAGTTGATTTCAATCAAAAGTTTTATCAATGTTCCTATTGAAATTTGATTTTTTTTTGTCTAGTTATAGAATACATTTAAGAAGATCTTAATTTGAACATCATAATTTTCAAGTTTTTATTCATGTCAAACAAATTTTTTTTTAAAAGGAACAATGTTGAAAGTTTTGTCAGAAATCAACTTTTGAATCAATGTTTCTATTAAACTGAATGAAAATATATTATTAATATAACATAAATCAACGCTAACATGTTTAATCCCGCCACATTCTGTATGTATGTGCCTGTCCCAATTCAGAAGCCTGTAATTCAGTGGTTGTCGTTTGTTTATGTGTTACATATTTGTTTTTCGTTCATTTTTTGTACATAAATTAGGCCGTTAGTTTTCTCGTTTGAATTGTTTTACATTGTCATTTTGGGGCCTTTTATAGCTGAACGTGCGGTATGGGCTTTGCTCATTGTTGAAGGCCGTACGGTGACCTATAATTGTTAATTTCTGTGTCATTTGGTCTCTTGTGAAAAGTTGTCTCATTGGCAATCATACCACATCTTCTTTTTTATATTTTATTAATGTTTCAACTTTGCATCACTGTTTACATTCAACCGATTGAAAATATAATATCAATATTGAATAAATATAACATCACATGAAGTTTTGAGTATAAAACTTGGATGGAGAGTTGTCTCATTGGCACTCATACCACATCTTCCTATATCTATTTTCCTCTATTTACAAGATTTTTTTTTACTCAGGTAAATTAATCAATGAGTGATAGATTTCTCTTAGAAGAAATTTAAAGGTCCCAGTGAAAAAACTACATGGAGAACAATAGCTATTGTATTCATTCAATAGGACAGGTGAACTTACAAAAGTTTAAATACCTGGTCAAGTAGAGATGGCACTGTCATGACTGTGGAAAACTTTCATTGGGTTCGCAATAATAATATATTTTCATTCAGTATAATATAAACATTGATTCAATCATAAAAAGTTGATTTCTAACAAAAGTTTTATCAATGTTCCTATTGAAATTTGATTATTTTTTGGTTTAGTTATAGAATACATTTA